CTTTCCTGTCAGCTCCCCGCGGGGCCGCAGCCCCCAGCCAGGCCAGGCCAGGCCAGGCCGCGCCAGCTCCACCGAGGACGCACGGGGAGACACCGCGGAGGCAAACCCAGCCGTCCTGCAGTGCCCCCCTCCAGACAGGCAGGCGCGCAAAGCGGGCCCCAACATGGTGCAAACACCGCTCGACCTTCTCAGCATCTCTGAGGAAAGTTGCCCCCCGGGGGGCTAGAGACGGCGCCGCTCCCTGGTGTCGCGGCCGCAGCGAGGTGGCCCGTCCGGGATCCGCGTGGAGCCGCTGGTGTGGAAGGTGACAAGCGTGTTTCCCAAGTCGAGTGGCTTGAGGGTGGCCGTCATCATTGCACGTGCACCCTCCGAGATTGGCGGCTCGCCGCCCTCCCCTCCCTGCCCGCCACGGACACCACCAGCGGCGTCTGCAGCCGTCCACGATCGACGTGTCACCGGTCAGCGCTCGCCGACAGCGCTGCGGCCGCCTGCGAGAGCTTGCCGCTCGCCACTGCGCCACCGCCACCGCCTGCGGGGACACGCAGCGTTCGTGGCCATCCTAGAGGACAGTCCAGGTTTCTGCTACGCTGTCCTCTATTGATACGAAACCCAACGCCTTGATGTTCTCTGTTTTTCTCTCGAGGACATCAAGGCGTCGGGTTTCGTATCGATAGAGGACAGAGTAGCAGAAAACCGGACCGTCCTCTAGGATGGCCGCCCCACATGGCTTCCAGGCCTCTCTGCCTCCTGGCCGACGTGAGCACGGCTGAGATGGCCAAGCCCGAGTCTCGAAAGAGAGTCTCTCAAAGCCAGCGGCATTGCTCGTTGCACTTCTTTAGACACTAGTTTTGTAGCTCGTTGGCTGTCCTTACAGCTGGAGAGCCGGTTGTTATTGTTTTTGGGGGCGTGCGCTCTGCTTTGCACGCGTGGCCCCTTGCATTTATTGCACAATTGGCCACTGAACTGCATAATGCACGTAACGTGGAGCAAGGGCCTCTGACGCTCCTGCAGCTTTCAGTCAGTCTTTTGTACCACTGTGTCGTGCACCAGGCATATTCTCTTAAACCCCTTGTAGGGGAGGGGAGATGCCGTCTAGCAGACTCCACTCGCTAGGAAAAATATCTGGGAAAACGTGCCAGTGGTTGTATGCAGCTGTTCAGACCACTGTGGGGGTAGGTAAGGCAGAAACTGCACAGCTTAATTCCAGTGTAAACCCATCTTTTATGGAGGGGATAGCTGATATTTACCAACCCCTTTACACGTGATATGCCCATTGATTTCTGTAGGCAACCTACTTCCAGGGGCCTTATGGAAAATTAGTTCCAGCCTATCCTTCCAGGATGGGCTTTTAAGGACATTCAGCATTGCTTTAATTCTAGTCCTAGTGAAAAAGCAAACACATGCTAAGCCAAACTTTCAGTAATGAGAATACCTAGTTTTTAATGACATCAAGACTTTTAAGGGAGACTTGGTTAGGTTTCTTGGGCCTAACACATGATTCACTTCAGGCAGTGTCAATACTCCCAGGAACTTCCCTGAGTTTTCCCTGCTCTCTTTCATCCCTCTCCTTCCCCACCACGCATCACCCTAATTCAAAAAATACCAGAACTGCACAAGCAACCAGCAGGAAGAGGTTAACCTTAGCTCATTCGTTTAAAAAAAAAAAAAAAGCAACTGCAAAAAGTATATTGTAAGTTTAATGTAGAAACATTCCAAATTAAGTGGTTCTTGTCTAAATTGGCCTGATATTTTCTCAACTATTTGAAAGGAGATTATAGTATCTGGGATTTAAGCTGTAGTATCTAGAATGCTTCCTTCAGAGTAAGGACAGTTTTTAAAGTACATGAAGTCTCTTGGTTAACTTTGGTTGTCTTTGCTTTCTTTGAAAAGTTCACATTTCCATTCCATGCCTGCCTTGTTTCACTGAAGTCTCAACACCAGTGTGATGTTTGTATTGATTTGAGACCTTGTCGTACTGCCACTTGTTGTAGACAAGCAGTGCTGTAAATAGGAACTATGCTACCTGCTGCCGAGTAAAACTACTTTCTCACATTTTGTGTTGCTCTTATCTTTGGAAGGGAAGAGTTATTGGTTTTTCTGTTCTTGTTATGGTTCTTTCAAAACACTTGCACTATTAGCAGGTGATTTGCCAAAGTTTCATTAGTGCCCTTCCCCTTAAAAGTCACACCACACTTAAAGTTTTGGGGGTTTTTTTAATTGCAAAACTTACCATCAATGGTTTTGTAACCACCAGCATAATTAACAGACAAACCAGGTATAATTCTTCTGGAGAGCTGTTTTATTTACTCTTTCTCTCTCTCTTTCTATATATATAGCAGTGCTGTAAATAGGAACTGCGCTACCTGCTATATATATATATAGAGAGAGAGAGAGAAATATTAGACAAAAGGTAGAATTCTATTAGTATAGAAAATCCTTGAACAATCACAGTCACACGAGCAACGTTACTCATAGGGAAGGTGGGCATTTTGGGGGGTTTTTTGGTTTTTTGTAAGTCTAAAAGAGACCACTGTTTCCCAGAGCTCAGGGGAGGTTCTGGAGAAATAAAATAAGCACCCATGGTGGAAGTGAAGAAAGTGGGTGTAATATTGTCCTGTCATAGTTTTACTTCCTCCTAATGACTCCTTTGACATTTGGTGAGCTGACCTTATGCTGCATAATATTGTGCAGTTCTAGTACAGTTATTTCTATTTTGTGCTTTCTTCACTTCTAATATCTACAGGCAAGATGGTTCAGAGAGCTGAGAAAAGAGGTCATCTCATCTAATTCCCCTAAAAAGAAGGGGTAGGGATAGTTTATCTGAACAAAAATAGTATAATCTGAATACATGCACAAGAATTCACTACTTGCGCTCCAGCAGCAGCCTCATTGTAAATGATCCAGTGTTCAGTAAGCTTGAGAGAGAAGTAACGAGAGTCCACAAAGGAAGCACTAGGGGATCCGCTGAAGCTTGAACTACTTTCCTTAAGGACTTCCGTCCTTTCTACTTGGGCAGTTAGAGCAGAAGGTTAGATTCAACATACTGGGATCCTCCTGATTGTTTTTCCTTACTGGATGTTTGTGGGTCACCATCTCTACCCATTTTCTCAAACAGAACAATGAGATACTCATTCTTCTCACCCTTTTAAGGCTACCAGTATTCTGACGTTTGTGCCTTGGGAATCTTGGCTGAAAGGCACTGAAGACATCCCGTTTTAATTGCTGAACCTTGCCCCAAATAGAAACTACAGAGCAGGTAACACTTTTTTATTTTTTTGATTAAGGGACACACTTCATCAACTTGCTTATTTTTCCAACTTGTGCAAGGGCAAGCTTCAAATCTTGCATAATTTGGTAACACTAGCAAGTTACAAAACTGGAGAATTTAAGCAACAACAGACTGAAAAATTAGATTCTCATGAACAGTTCTTCCTAAAACAAGCAAAGCCAGATTGTATGGCAGGAAGCAAAAGCTACTTCACTTGACTGATTTCTCAAAATCTTTGTTTTCTTTAGGAAGTCAGTTTATCTTTTGTTTTTCTCACATGACTATATTCACGTTGGCCGTAAGGCGCCTTGGCCTCAACATGGAGCATTAATTTTGTCCGTATTCTGTGCAACATCTAACTTTTCAAAGCTCTTCGGCTTTTCATTGCAAGAGACCTTTATGTAGCAAGAGTCCCAACCAGTCAAAAGCCATTACTTGGGGCCTCCAAAGAATCTAGGGACCGATGTAAATAGGAAGTTTTATTCCCCCTCCCTGCACATTTCTGATCCTAAAGGGCATACTTAGTTTGATGTTTCTAAGCTTTTCTCCAGAACAATGTTTGAAAGAGTTAGTTGTAGGGGGAAAAATTAAAAACTAAGATTCTCACCATGTTAATGCAGGAGTTTGGAGCTTTAGATTTGGAGATAGGTCTTGCCTCTTCTTCCCTTCCCTTACCCCACTCCGCTAAATAAGTCTCCTGAGATCCTGACCACCACCTCCCCACACCCACATACACTTTAGAGCATCTGAGATGGCATCTGACTCCTCAGTGGGATCCCAACTGATGGTAGAATGATCATCTCTGGAGATGTGACTTCAAGATGTGCTTTGTGGGACATGCCCTCACAAATGCAGCAGTAGGGTGATGGATTTCCTGTTCCTCCTTCTCCAGGAGAATCATGACATCCCTTCCCGGAGAAGATTTTCTTGCACTCTGGCTGGCACATTGCTGGATGTCCTTTCACCTCTGTTTCTTACACCCCAGAAGCACATTCTTGTACTAAAACAGCAGAATTCTTGTCCTTACCCCACGCCTTACTCCCTCAACACTTCTGAAATGGGTCCTATGGTTAGTTTGCATGCCAAGTAAGGAAGCCAGTGGGAGTCAGTGCTGCGCATTACTGTCTGTCACTTCTGTCACTAACCACAGAAGATTTTTTCTGAGATAGTGCTGCTTAGATCTCACACTGAAATCCCCCCAAATTCAGAAGTTACTGTATCAGGACCTTCTCTTGTTTAAAGGGTCAAGCAGGCAGGTAGTGCTGACCTGTGGATTGGGTCCCCCTAATTATAAATAGTTTCCTTGGGTATAACACCCCTTTCACTTTGGAACCCAAGCACTGAACAGGTAACCCCAGTGAGTGACCGATCAGCTAAGGAAGGATCATATGCAAGTGACCAGAACACATGCACCTACTTCTGGACCACTGTCACAGGGTCACTGGTCCTATAAAGTACGGTCAGCTCCTTGGTGACGGAGCAGGTGCTCCTAGCTGGAGCAGACTAGGGGATGAGAAGAAGTACAGGGAGAAAGCAAAAGCAGGAAGCCCAGCTAGATGTCTCCAGGAGTTCCCTGGAGAAGATAGTTGAATGTAGCAAGAGATCCGTGGGACTTCCCTTGGAATAGAAGACCAGAAACAGCTAAAGCCAAAGGGAGCAGTGTAAAGGTTGGCTTGCTGATTTCCTCACCGTGGAGAGACCCAGGGCAGAGAGGTGCAGAGAGATTTGTCTGCAGCTTGCCCTAGGCTGGATAGCTGGAACCAGGAAATCAGTTAAGGGCTCATCTACTAAATTCTTTAAGCTGGAGAGTTGGGGCCAGAGCATGCCATGGAAAGATCCATCTACTAACCAGGCCAGGCCTAAGAGGAAACTATTCCCCAGTGGCAAGTCAGGGGAGCATTTACTGGGAAGACAAAACACTTGCCTGACCGCTTCAGTGCCTAGTAGGCTGCAGGTGCCAAACCTTTCTCCAGAGACCCGACTTAGGAATTGTATATGTTCAGAACTGCCCCCCCTCACAGCAGAGTTGAATCTTGAGATGTCTGAACCTTGACAGGGCCAATTCAAGATTCACAGACTGGGTAGAACAACACCCAAGTCCCTGGAGAGGTCCAATGCAGCGGGTGTGCTCAGAACAGGTTTTAACCAAACTCAGCATCAAGTTCAGCACTTATGGCCACAGCCAGTGACGGTATTCCTACCATCTTTTTGCCTCATGACCTACTTGACAGAGCCCTTTTCATCCTGAGTGTATTCGAACTGATATATCTCACCTTCCAGGAGAGCTCCTGGCTGTGGGCTAGGCTGGGCCAAGAGCAACCTCCACCCCTTCTGGCCACCATAAAAAAGTAAAACAGAAGTCACAGAGGAAAGCAGGGGTCAGAGAGTACAAGCAAGCAGGAGTCTGAAATTTAGCTCAGTGAGTTGGGCTCCCCTCTAAAACACAGAGCTCTGGGTACCCATTCCTGTGTCCAGGGCCATTCATGCATTTTAGGCAGTGACTGCTGAATACAAAATGCATAACCATGCCCAGGATCAAGAACTGGGACCCAGAGAGTTGTCTCTCCAAGGAACATGCAAAACCTACTGGGGGAGTCGGGCTCCTTGAATAAAAAGAACAACACTGAGGACAGGGCAGCCCTGTGTGGGAGCTGAGAATAAAACTCTGACCTGGCACCTCACATATTATAGCCATGGCAGTTAGTTTTTAAGAAGGAAGATTCAGGGTTGTTTGAAGGACTCAGAGAAGATGCCTTGGGTTCTCAGGCTGAAAGAAGCTGGGCCTGCATTTCTGCAGAATTCTTTCCTACTGGCTCCGTCCCATTCATTTCAGGGATGTGACTGTGTGAATGACCTCTGGTCAAGGTTGCTCAAGTATTTCCCGCACATTCACAGGGCCTGACAAGAGTTTGTATCATGGTAGGCTACAAAAAATCTGCTCTAGCTGTGCACATCTCTTGCCATTTTGCACAAATCCCTGGTGGCTAGAACTAACAAACATCTTTTCTATTTTCCCTATTTTATTTTTTGTTTTGCTTAAAAACATCAAACAAAATAAAGTCCTACAACTCAGCTATTTTGTAACAACCTTTAACACTGGTTTGAATTACTTATTGTAAGTTGGACGCAATTCCACTGGTTGCTGCCTTCCTGTAGGCAGGACCAGATCTTTGATTAAGATAAATGTTATAATCCACTTGAGCTCTTCAGTTTTACCATGTTAAGATCTTGGCTGTTAGCTAAGCCTTTCTGCAAAGGAAAGAGTGTCCCCCTCCCCAACCCGCTCCCTCAACTCCCATATTTTCCAGCGCTCTGCAGAAACATCTTATGTAAACTAGTACAGTAATTTAAGTTTGGCAGGCTAAAGAGATAGGAGTCATGCCACTTTCCCTTCCCAGCCCCCACATTTATTTGATTAAAATTTCCTATACTGTTTGACTTCCCCCACTCCTGGCAAGCACCCAGACATACAGGAAATTACAGTGGCCAGCTTTTCTCTTTGCTTCTTTTCAGTTCTCAATTTCCCTTTAAGCAGTTTTCTTTGGCAGCAGGCTCTGTCCCTGCTGACCCAGTCATTGGTAGCAGTCATTCCAGAGAATGCTTATATCCCAAATTATTGCAGCTGTGAGTTAACAGAAACCTAAACACACTGCTGCTTTCTCATATGAAGCACCTACAGCAGTCAAGGAGACGTTGGCCTCAGATAGCCCTTCAACCCCAAAGATGCTGCCCTATACAGATGAAAGGGAACCGAGTGAATCTGCAGCATTTCCTGCAAAGGAAGAATGCAGACAGAGCTGGTGGGAGAGCACTGGGGAAAGGGAACAGGCTGGGCTCCCATGTTAGTGCATTTTCCTCCCCTGCCCACTCCTTCCTTCCCAAGCAAGTAGGGGTTGTGCAGGGGGTTGTACTCTGAGCAGTCCAAAAAAACAAAAGTCCCACTAAGACAGGTTAGGTTGCTTATAAAAAATGGCAGGAGTTAGAGATAAATTGTATGGGATGAAAGAATCACAGTAAGGTGTTCTTACAGCTCCTGGTAGAGACCCAGATTGGCTTCTGGTAAAATCATCAGAGTACAGAATACTTAAATCGGTTCCTGGGATGAGGTTCCCAACACTTCCTGGAGGCTGCCAATAGGATGGCTGAATGTGAAGCGGCCAGCCTTTGCTATCAATACAGCTGCCACTCAGGATCCACCATGGCACCGCTGGGCCTTCATCCTCTTGATTCTAAAAGGCTTTGTGACCAGACTAGACCAAGGAAACCAAATAACGTCATGAGATAAATCCTGATCACGTAGGAGGCGAGCCTCTGTGACAGTACGGTCCCCAGGCTCCAGTTTGTCATTGCCCACTAGATTCTTCTTCCCATCCTCCCTTTTCCCCCTCCCATCTTTCCTTCTTTTTTTATGGAGTCCCCTCAACCCTAAAAACAACTCGTCTCCAACACTGTTGCAAGCCCTATGACCAGACAGGTGAGCATTCAACACACCAATGTTAATACAAGTTCACCAGGTGTCAGATTGCTTTGCCATTGCATGCTGGCACTGCTTCTTTCCCAGAAACGCTGCAAATGGAAGTCAGTACCAGAAATGAAATTTAAGCTGTTATCTAGTTTAGCTCCTTTTTCCGCCCTTTTGTGGAGCAATTTGTCTTGTTTTAAACAAAGTAGGGCTGGATTCCAGCAACCATAACAAAGCAGCTCCAGACTATCTCAATTAGCTTTTATTATTTTCCCATAAGAAAGGGCAAAGGCCACATTTAAGGCCAACTAAGTCTGTCAGACAAAGATTTTGGGCATGGGGGGGCAGGGGGCCGACAAAAAACTCACCAAAAGACTCCATATGTTTTAAAGAAATAAGGAATAGTGTTTAACTAAAACATCGTGGGTTTTTTCTTGGTGTTTTTTTTTCCCTTCCTTTCTGGCTTCAGAAGCTAAAGAGATTTTAATCTTGATAACTATGATAGGGTGAGCTAAAGTCCCAAGAGTGAGTCATCTTATTATCATCTCCTGTGGTGGATTTGAGGCATTTCTTATATAAATGACAGGCTGAAAAGGTCACTTCCACCTTCATATAGCATACAGCACCTCATGCAGCTCCACCTAGGGAAGCAAATTGGAATCAGTGGCCTCAAGGCATTTGGAAGCAGTGTCAGAGTATACTCTGTCCTAACAGTGTACAAATATGTATGAAGGGCTGAAGGGGTGATGGAAAAGCTCCTCCCTTCTGTCAGAATAATGGGAAGGAGAAAAGAAATGAGTTACACTAATGGTAGAACCATAAGAAGATTTAAAGGGACTTTATTCCTACCCTCTTATACTAGCATGTGTATACGCCACTATCTGCTATCTACATCTGGTTTGGAGACTTCAGAAATCGTATAGTACACGTGCATGGGGAGCTCCAAATAGGTGCTTTGCAGATGTCTATAAGTGATGGGCTTTTCAGACTAGAGCTCTCCAGAACCAGAGCTTACGGTTCTGAGTTTGAAGGTGCATCAGGTTGCAAACAAACTGTTTGTTCTCTGCTCTGAGAGATGAGTTGTATACCTTGCTATGTTTTCAAATGAGAGGGGAAAAGAAAGGCCTGGGATGCAGAACTGTGAAACAAGGGTTTTGAGAGGGCAAGTTCAAGAAGAGTTATTTAGGAGGATGTGGGCTGATCATAAAGGACTTTGGGAATTGCCTCCTAATCTCCCAACCAGGGGAAGGCCCTAAGAGCTGGAACGGAGCAAATGCCTCTTTGAGCCAGCCCCAAGAGCATGTTTGTGCCTGGCTATGACAGGAGCAGTCCTGCCCCAGCCATATTGTGTAAGTCAGTAGAGGTGTGCTTGGAGCACAGCCTGTTCTGCCATCTCAAGCAAGTGGGGTGTGAGCAAGCTGCCAAGATTTTTTTCAATGAAGGAATCCCAGGGATCCTCCCCTATACATCAGTTTTACTTACAGGGGGAGCTAATATTTTTAGCTGTCTTCTCCCAGGGCTGGGTTCTCCCTAAGTAATGCTAGTTTTGCTTTGTTTCATAGGAAATGTATTGCAATGATTGGTCTTCTTGATGGCACAGAGGGGTCTTTACCCTGGCTGGCTTTGCTCCTTGGCTCTGATATACCATGCAGTTACACATACGAAGTGCTGCTGAGATTTGACTCTCTTGTGATCAGTCAGCCAGTTCCAAACTGACCGCTGGAGTGCATGTGATGGGGTGAGGAGAAGGAACTGCATCTGGGCTGTCTGCCTTGCCTGTTAAAAGCCATAGGTAGCTGGAGGTTCTCATCTCCAACATGCTAGGCCTGTAATGATTCCTTACGGACATGACTATATCTGTACCTGTCAAATATAGAAGATGATAAACTCACTGTTTCTAACAAAGCAGGAGTAGATTTGCTGATTCTATGACACTGAGAAAACCCAGCAGGAAATATGGCTGATATACTAAAATAATATATTTAGGGGGTTAGTATAGCATGTTGCGTATACAGCATTGATTCTCAACCAGGGTGCCATGAGATCCTTTTAAGGGTGCTACATATTGCAGGCACCCTACAATATTAGCAGTGTGAGGTGTGCAAACATGAGTCACAAAATAAACCCAGGGATTTCAAAAAGGAATCCATAATGTCAAATAAATTTCTGACCTGTTGTGGGCTCTTTGAGTTCTTGGCAACAGAAGAATTGCTGTATAATTTTTTTTTGTTTTCCTTTTTCTATAGTCAAAAAATAAGAGAAAGCCAAGAGCTGGCATTTTCTGAGGGACATCTTGAGTCCTACAAAGTTGAGAACTACAGACAGGTCAACTGGCGGTCTGTGTGCACTATTTGGAAACATGTCAAGGAGATACTCCAGTAGTGCGTGATTCTGCTACCAAATAGTGGTGAGCTTTTTTGCGCTAGAAATAATGGTATGTTTGAAAGTTTATCCCCAGGCAGTTTCTAAAAGGTGCTCACCCCCTTTGTAGGGTTGCCAACTCTCCAGGATTGCCCTGGCATCCCAGGAATTAGATACAAATCTCCAGAAGACTACTGAGAGTCACCCATGAGATAGATGATAGGACATTCGTTAAAATAAATATTTAATGTTGAATCCAATGTATACAGTGGTCTAGTGGGTTTTTTAAATGTAATAGTAACGTACGTTTGCCTTCCTGACATAAAGTCTGTGCACCATAATCCATAACTGATATACACAAGTGTGGTAAAAATATGTTATAATCTAGTCATTATGATTTTGCAATAACGTTTGTGTAGCAGCTGTGTGGTAAAAATGTCTCATCTCCCTACACAAAGGCTTCACAGCTGAGAACTGTTTAGTTTCACTACATAATTGCTTCTGCATATTATCACACTTGCTTCTGCTAAGGTATGTAGGCCAATGATAGATTTACGAGTAGCACTAGACTTTTGCAGACATAGCCAGGAACAGATGCAACAAATAACTCCTTACGAGAGATAAAAGAAGAGGGACAGGGAGAGATGCTGATGTGAAGAACTCAGACCTTGACCGAAGAATGACCGAAATGGACTTAAGGACGGCCCCAGGGAGGAGATTTAAGATGTAAATGAGACATGTATGTAAACCGTCATAGAACATGTACCTGCTAGACATATGTTGTAAGACGTAATACTTGGGCTGCCAATAATTACGCGACACGTTAGAATCTTTTGTTTATGTTAGCTATAAAAAGGAACCCCAGACTCTGTTTGGGGTCGACACGGATTTGAGTAAATTAAGCTCCCTTGTCGAACTTGTTTGCAAACAATAAATCTGAACTTGGACCCAGCCTGTGTGTGACTCTCTCCTAGGGGTGGATTGGACAAGCCTCCAGGGGCACGAAACTAGCCGTTTGTGCAACACAAGCACGCAGGAACGTTCGTGTTGTGTGTCATGAGCACGTTGGCGTTCTGGAAATCTCCCAGAATAGATTCAAACAGAGTTGCCAGCCCTACCCCTTTGCCATTTCTCTGCCCACCATAATTTTTTCCCCTCCATTTGGGGCAGCTTCTGTAATGCTCTTGCATGGCCAGAAGCAGCTACTACTTTTGGAGACAGCACTCCCAGGACAGGCTATGACTTTTATTGTAGAATGTGCATCAGACTGAACATGCTGACAAATCCGTTTTGAGAAATAATTAATCTATGACCTCCGGCTTTTGTTTTGAACAGTAGTGACTGGTATTTACTTAGTCAGTGGTGATACTCTCCTATTGGACGTGTCTAAGGAGCTGGCTGCCTGAAGTGCCTGATGCCATACAGCTTAGCCTGACGAAGGGTTTTTGAACCCGAAAGCTTGCTTAATAACTATTCTCCAACCATTTGGGTTGGTCTAATAAAAGATATCAAATTCACCCAAGGAACCTTGTCTGCCTATATCCTTAGACCAACACGGCTACAACCTAAACCCCTGATACCATACTTGGCATTGGTGCTTTCTCTCCCCCTCAGCCATGTGACAATGTGAATTGAATGTCTGCATCATTCCCTCAATCCTACTGGTACAAGCTGGGGCACACACATTAGCTAGGGCACCTGCATTGCTATTGCCTACATACACCCTGGCCTGTGGACACTTTGCTCCCCGGTTCTGTCACTTGAGCTCCCTTCGTGAATATGTGGACATCCTTGAAGAGTCAAGAGAAATGTAAGAATTATTACCTTGCATGTGGTGTGGCCTGCCAGGTTCAATCGGCTTGTTTGCCCATCACTTTTACTTGCTGCGTGTTATTATAATAAAGGAAATTGCAAGGATAGTTTCTTTAAAAGTTTGAGGGGAATATAATCTGAGTAAGGCAATGCCACTTTTCCTCAGAGGTAGATACGTAACTCCCATTGACTTCTATGCTATAAAAACCTTGGAGGATCTGTGCTCCTACCTTAGAGGGTGGGAGCAAAGCTGCTCATTTCTGCAAAGACACAACTGATTTCAGACTCGTTTGCAATACTAATGGTGGTGCCTAGCTTGGGCATACAGTATGATTCACCTGGTACAAATCATAAAACTCTGGCATAGACCAACTCAGTTTCATGTCAGATGTGTACACATACCCGATCCTTCTTTTCTTTTCTTTCTCTTGCAGAGAAAAGTGACTGATAATGAGAACACTGATGCAGGGATGGATGTGCCTTCAGCTAAAGAGAATTAAAATCTAGGTTTTAGCCCCGTCACTGCATCAGATTCATTGTGTGAACTGAGGTAAGTCACTTAAATTTCCCGAGCCTCCTTCTTTCTGTCTGCAGAGTGGATGTTACTAATGCATGGGTTCTTGGGAACATTCCTATATTGACTGTAGACAGCTCTTTCAAGATCCTTGGTTGGAAGTTGCAATGTTCAACCTATTACTGATTGTCCTTCAAGTCTTTGTACCGCTAGGTGGCAACCTAAGCTTTGCGAAGTTATGGTTAGATTGAATTTTGTGCTAGACACTATAAGAGACAAGAACAAAGTACAGTCTGTGTGATCTGGCAGCAATACTACTTGAGTCCTGATGTTGATACATAAAGTCAAGAACCAAAACCTTCATTTAGTCATTTTGGGCATAAACATCAGGCAACATCATAACTTGAAGACAACTAATAGAAGAAAATTGCAAGATGACCCACAGAAGTCAATCAGCCCTCTGGCCACTGCAACCATTTTGAAGATGCTGCTGCTGCTCCTGTACAGTGGGCTAAGGTAATAAGTTTGCCAAAGTTGGAGTGGATTGTGCTGTGTTCATTACGCTATTTCCATTGTTTTTCAGGAGGAGTGTTTCTATGGGACTTTTAAGACTTTGTTTTTCCTTTCACCTACTTTCAATGATGAGCTGCACTTGGCAATCTTTCAGTCATTGTTAAGCTTAACTATACAAAGCAGCAAATGCGGAATTCTGTCTCCCAAAATACAGTCTGTTATCTGTTATCTTTTGAACAAGTTGTCTCAATTAAATGGCGGCTTTTCAGCTGAGTGCTTTGTCATTAATCAATGAGAGTTTTCCTCCCAAATAAAAGCCACATAGCCTAAAGTTTCACAGGCTGGAAGATTTTTCCAGAGACCATAATTAGAAGACAGAAGAAAGGACAGTGTTAGACCTGTTGTACTAATACCATATGGCACTAGAGCAAGTTTATCTGCCCCGGTTAATGAAATTCTATAGGGTACGCATGTGGCTGTGCGTTGCCCTCTACTGGACTGATTCAGATCTACTCAGGTGCTTTTTGTTTCCATATGGGCTGAATTCATGAAAGTGTAGTGCTGCAATGCATAAGTAACCTGTTTCCTTGTGGAACACGAAGCCATTTTTCAGTACTGAAGAAGGAAAATGCAGGAAACAGCAAAGTAAGCAGGGAGTTTCCAAAACAAAGCAATAGGAATTGCCAAGGAGTGGGGAGATGCCAAGCCCACCTTCCTATAGAGTCACTCTCAGACACATACTCCTTAGGCTGTTGCCTTGAATGTCTCATCTAATGCCTGGGTTCACCAACCTTCTACATGAATAAGCTGAACAATCCTAATATAAATAAAAAGGGTGCTCTCTAGTGTCTCAGAGGATAGTGTATTCACCTGTGATAGGAAAGGCCTTGAACTTGAACCCTGCCTTTTCTGTCTGCTGTGGAGCAAAGATGAAATCTCAGGTCTGCTCTGCCCTTCCATGGACTGTGCTGCAGTCCACCAGGGCATAGAGTCCACTTCAAGAATTTAGGTACTGTATTAGAAATGAGTAAGTGTAGACTGAGGCATGAAGCAGGCTGAGCCCCGCTTCATGGGAAGAAGGGAAAAGGGAGGAATTTGGACTATGTTATCTACAGCAACAACTGAAGGTACAGAGCCATTGTGGGGCTTGTGTTTAGCCCCTACGGTTGGTCCATGTATTAATGGAGAAGAGAAATGCTCCCAGGACTCTCCCACCTCAAAAGTGCTCAACACCAGTCCCCTGAGCTTGTGGAGTGGCCCACCTTGCTGGAGTCCAGAGGTTAGTGTCCACAAGTGTTCAAAAGAAAACTTCAGATTCAAATCTCATTTGCTTGACTAGCTTTGGAGGCATGGTGAGGACCCCAGCCATTCCCTCGAGAAGGGAAGGGCTGTTGTTGAGTGCCTGTGTAGCTGAGAGAGCTCCAATTTACCAGGCCATGGAGTGTCCCTTTTTCAGTGCCTATGTACCCGAGGGTGCTCTAAGTCAGCATTTCTTAACCCGTGGGTCGCAACCCAAAAGTGGGTTGCAAGAATATATGAAAGAGTTGTGAACAAACTTTAAAAAATGGATCAACAAACTATAAAAATGAATTCTCCTTTAAAGGAGAAAAATGTGGAAAACCATGGGTTCCTCCTTGCAGGCTGGCATAGTTCCAGCCTGCAAGGGGCTGCTTTGGGCTGGGGGGTGTGGGAGGAGGGCCATCAGGCACAGAGTGCCATTTGCATGTGCACACACACACACATGCACGTGGCAGCCAGGCAACATGGAGAGCAGTTCCCGCAGGTAAGTCTATGGAGCAGGAGGGAAGTAGGGACTATAGATGACAT